CATGCACTCCTCCCACCTGTGATCTGAAATGGTCCAGCCTTACAGCACAGGCAGTATTACTGTTCACATTGTTGCTCCAGGGCTTTTTGCCCCGCTTGCTTTTCTTTTGTGGTTTTCTGCGCAGGGTTGTCTAGCTCTTCTCCAAACGCTGCTCCCATAGTTTTGCGGGAAGCGCCAGAGCTACCTAGCAGCGACCTTGGAGCTGACAGCCTCCCGGTCCAGCAGTGCAGAGGAAAATGGTGCCAGTGAACAATTGGGGCTGTCAGCGTCGGGCACAGAAATTTGCAGACAAAATTTACCCTCTGGCTACTTCAGGCAGGAGAGCCTCAGGCCAGCTGGAATGCACCAAAACACAGCTGCGCCTCCCACCCCAAGCAACTGGGCGGCGTGCCTGCTGCTTTTGGACTGCAGAGAGGAGCAAATGTGTGCAGCGATAGCACATCCTGCACAGCAGAGCATCTGTGCTCTCCACCTACCTTCTGGAGGTAATTCAGCTCTTATCAACATGATTTGGGCATCCTGTTGATGTTAGACAAAAGCATATAATATTACAAAAGGCGGGTGGGGGAGTAAAATATTTAATACAAGGGTTTTTATGTAATTGTGTAGTTCTTCAAGCAGCTAAAATGGTAGATACTCAAATTTACCCCTTTGGCCTTTTGCATTCCCGGGCAGGATCTCATTATCCTTGCCTCACTCTTTGATTCCAAGCACATCCCTCAGAACTCCTGCTGGTTATTCTGCTGGCAGCAAAAAGACTAATCTCTTTCCGTTTCAGTCGCCCAGAAAGTAGCAGGTTAGTGCAACCATGAAATCCTTTGGATAACTCCAAACACGTCCAGCAATCTGGATCAGTGATGCTGCAGATGTCAAAGATTTTGGAAGGTCCGCTTTCCGTACACCTTTTACAGAGACGCAGTTACCCAAGCTCAGCAGTCGTGCTCTGCTCGACTCCCTTCTTAAAGCTTCCATTCCCTCTGCTGGGTAGCCTTGCCTTGTGGCACCTATTCTGAAAGAGGTGAAGCCTCCACCTTTTGTGATGTAGCTGTGTCACTCATGCCTCATCTACATGGCTCTTATTTAGGGGGAAACAGGATGTGCCATTTAGTATACCAGGTCAAAGAGCTGCTGGAGGCAGTGGTCTCCAGCAGTACCAATGGAGAAAGAGAGGTCTTTAAGCAGAGGCTTGACAACCATATGTCAGGAGTGCTCTGGTGGTGTTTCCTGCTTGGCAGGGGGTTGGACTCGATGGCCCTTGTGGTCTCTTCCAACTCTATGATTCTACGAGACCTAGGCCACTTGGGGGTTATACAGGATGCATAGCTGACTTAGGGCACTGAAGCATCCTGAGATGTATGATTGTGCTTTTCAGGGGCATTTCTGTGCCTCTGGCTCTACCTACGATGCTTAACCAGGAATGTGGTCCATGGGAAAATGCCCAGTACTAATTCACTCACTTCACTTTCAGCTCCTGTGCTGCAAAACTGCTTCCACGCACAGCTGCCTCAGCCACGACTGTGTCTGTGGTGAGTTTCTTTCCACTCACTGAAGTTCTTGGGGCAAAGCCCTTGGAGTCCCCTTGTAATAATACCCAGCCATTATTGCATGCATATGGAACTGGCCAGGGCAGGGGTGTTGGGGCAGCAATCCAGAGCTCCAGAATGAGAAGGAGGGTCCTCTAAATATAGCAGGGTGGGTTTATCACACATTGAAGAAATGTGTGTTATCTATAGAATACCCTCCACATGAACAGTAGGTCCAGAGTCTAAAATGACCGCAGGCTCTGAGAGCCAATGAGTAGCATGGCTTGGCTGACAGTTTTGTTTCCAGTGCCATCCAAGATTGCCTATGACACTAGTCCCAAGGGGACCATCCTATTCCCTAACATTTCAGCTTCCAGAATCTTCCTCTCCTCATTCCTTCATGGAAAAAGAGTGTTGGCCTCCCATGGGTCTGTTACATTGCCAGCAGGAAGGTAGGACACCCTGATTCTGGCGCTAACCTTTTTTTAAAGGGCAGCTTGCTCTGTTGGTGAAATGCTCTCGGGGTTTGGCAGTTTCCCTCTCATGTTGAACATAAATCTGCAGGCCTGTAACTTAAACTCACATTTCTCTGCTCCTATCCCAAACAATGTTCCTCCTGAATAATTATTCCCCTTCTGCTTTCTGACATCCTTTAAAACATTTATAAACAGGGAGCCTGCTGTCTCTCTTAGGATCCTCTTTCTGTGGACTGAATACAAGCAGTTTCTTTAATAGCCTCCCCCCTCCCCCGCAACACACACCTTGCTCTGAATAGAGATGCTCTTTTAATCTCGGAAGAGGCATTCCCTATTCTTTCTGAGGCCAGGAAGGGTGTCTTTTTGGAAATGGCATCTGTTGTTTTAATCAGTACTACAGTCATACCTCGGGTTACAAACGCTTCAGGTTGTGTTTTTTCAGGTTACGGACATGCCGAAGCCTGGAAATACCAAAACAGGTTACTTCCAGGTTTCGGTGGGCGTGCACACGCAGAAGCACTAAATTGTGCTTTGCGCATGTGCAGAAGCGCCAAATCGCAACCCGCGCGTGCACAGACGTGGTGCTGTGGGTTGCGAACGCTGGGGGTTGGAAATGTGCCTCCCACACGGATCACATTCGCAACCCGTGCGTCCACTGTATGCTAAAACCTTTTTTAAAAAAGTAAATTTACTGCCCAATTAATCAGAGACTTTTTTTTAAGGTGGATTCAACACATTTGGATCAATGTGGTTTTTTCTTTAACCAAGTCATCTGATTAATGAATCAGTTAACTTGCACTCTGCTTTGGAAATGGAGCAGGGTAAATTGTCTGGTTCTCTTCATGCTTTGAGCCCCATCACTCATTTCTGCTGCTGGAAGTATCCTTCATAGCCATGGCAACCCATGGCAAACACTTCTCCCATCATCTTACATGGTGGAAAGCACCATAGAAAGCGAAGGAACATCTCAAGCCAAACATGCAAAGCTGCCTTTGTTATTGATCAGGCCAGGTTGCATGGTTTTTGTTTCTGTGTAGGAAATTCCACAGTCAGAATCTGTAACTAATTAGCTGCAGCTCTGAGAGAGCGGAGAAGAACTTAGGTGGAAGGCAGAGTAAAACTTAAATGATTCCCTTGCTCCAAGCCCAGTTGTGTGTTCCTCGCTTTCATTGGAGAACAATAGCAACCTTTCCCCTACTACTTCCCAGTCAGTGTTAAACAGATACCCTACGTTGGGGGGAGCCAACATGGTGCCTCCCAGATGTTGATGGACTCCCAACTCCCATAATCTTTGGGTCTTATGGAAGTTGAAGTCCACCAACATCTGGAGATCACGGCATTGGCTACCCCTGCCCTCTGTAGACCCGTGTGCCTTACTCAACGTGATGAAAATGTCCATGGGGGACACAGAGGGCCACAGCTTCTTTTTCACAGTTTTCCAAGGCTGACCTCCATCAGCTGAGCAATCTGCATGACTAGGGAAGGCTAGATCTAGGCATGTAGTGAAGTGGTCATGCAATTGCTTGGTCATAGCCTCCACCTCCCCACTGCTTCAGTGTTGACAAGGCCAACCCCAGCCTTAAGCCTCAGCTCTCAACCCCATTTCTGCTTGCTTTCATGTGAGTGGTGCAAATGATTTCTGGGCTGCACTTGTGAATACACAAATACTTCTCTTGCTGCTGATGACTTCGGGAAGCTTAGAGCAAAGTTGGGCACGTATCTTAAATATCTCTGGTTCTTGTCAGTGTTGCAGTCATTTTGCCTGGTGATCCTACACTGCTCACTCACCACCCAAAGTCACATGGAATTAAGTTAATGGATGGACTCAATTTGACAACACATAGAGGAATACACTTTAGAGTCCATACCCCAGTCTCACCAAGTATCTAACTGCTAGGCCTTTTGTTTGCTCTTGTTGTGTCAAACAGGATGATTAATTTGGCCAGACAGGAAGATAACATGCAGAAGTCTCGATAGCCAATCTGGATCCCTTCCTTTGGGCCTGATGAATCTACACCTAGCTATTAAGCATTTAACTCATTTCTTTGACACCGAGTCTTCTTGGTGTCCACTGCATCCTGTCTCCCATCATCAGTCTCAAAGGCTATCTATTAGTGATTCACAAATGGTAAACAGGGTTCTATACAAAACCAGAGAAATACATCCCCCCCCCCAACTAGGACCAAAGGATTTGCGGCTAAAACAGGAGGTGCAGATGAGTTGCCTTAATCAAGAAATTGCAATGTACTGTATACTTTTTCCTTTATATCTAATGATAGACAATGAATGTCTTGATAGTTCTTGCATTCTACTGCTTACCCACTGAGGTTACTCTTGAAATTTCCTCTTCAGTCATGGATCATTCTTCCTACTGCAGCTCCCTTGATGCCCATAGCTCAGTTTCCTCTGATATCACAGTAGACTGGCTTGTGTTGTTCTTGCAAACCCTAGCTCTAGGGTTACAAGCCTAGCTGTGGCATAAAAGGACTGTGTGGAGCTCTGAGAGGCCACATCTATCGAACCAGCTGGTCCGCTATTGCAAAAGGCGTGTTGCAACCTTGGGATAAGGCAGCTGATTGATTATGGGGAGCAAGTAACCCTGCAAGTGTGAATTATGAGTTCCTTAAGCAGCTTCTGATAAATTAAACAGTGCGAGCGTTGTATTTACACCATGGGTTTTCTCATGACACCTGCTGTTTGGCAATTCTTGAGGCTTATGTCTATAGATTGACCCAGCCCTTCTTTTTCATGCAGTGTCTCATAGCGTTCCAGCCATTAAACTTGGGGGACAAGCTGTTTGAAATGGACAGTATTACGAACAGGGAAAACTGCCTTATACTGAGTTGGACCATTGCTCCGTCTCCCCCAGCACCCTCTACACTGACTAGTAGCAGCTATCTAAAAAGAGTTTCAGGCAGGGGGTGTTCCCAGCCCTACCTGGATATGCAAGATTGAACCTGGGGGCTTCTCTCCTTTCCACCAGTGTTGGGGGGAAACGGGGGGAGGCATAGGTCAGTGGCAGTGCATCTGCTCTGAGTGCAGAAGACCCAAAGTTCAATACCTGGTGTCTTCAGGTAGGGCTGGGAGAAAACTCTGAAATCCCAGAGAGCTGTCAACACAATACTGAGCCAGGTGGAACAATAGTCTGATTCGATTGAAGGCAGCTTCCTAAGTGTGGGCGCAGAATGTGTGCCCTGCAGGTTCAGAAGGCCTGAATATCAAGATATCCCATATTTTCGGTTATAGAAGTTTGTATGCAAAGAGGCCAAGTCAGTTACGTGAGCCGTTACCTTTCATTTTTCTGGTGTTCTACTGCTAAGACATTCCAGTCTGCCTATTCTCTAGTTTCCCCCCTATAGGATTGTCAAGGGCACACTTTTGCATTGTCGGGTGGACTCCAACTGGGGAGCCACCTTTGAAAGCCTTCCCCACTTCCTTAAGAGCCAAGCAAGCTCTGTCAATACATGCCTTTTGGCTCCCAGTCAAAGGAGGCGGGGTAATAGCACTCCTGGTGGCTCTGCAGGCAGCTCATGTGACAAGGCTCCCGCCTCTCCCTCTCCTCAAGGAAAGGGTTTCCAGAAATGCAGCTGTGTTACTATATTAAGGTGTCCCCACCTGCCTTTGTTTCTAGGCCATCCCAAGCCAAGCTGCAGGGCGAAAGCAGAACATAATGGGGGGGGGGGAGTCTAGCAGCACCATATAAAGAAAGACATTTGAGCTTTCCCTTTGCATGGTTTCTGACATGATGGATTTCCCCTTCCGGGAAGACAGTTGAGTATTAAATAGAGCTGGCAAAGGCTGCATTAGAAAAATTCCCTTTCCCATCACTTCCATGGCATCCTGGAGGATAAATGAGGCCAATGGCTGGCTGCACTGCTCTTGCAGACCCTCAGAATAGCCAGCGTCTTTTGTTTTGCTGCACTCTTATTCCAAGCAATTGAAATCACGGTGGTGGCTTGCCTCTTTTCTTTGAATCCCCATCCTTTGTTTTCAAGCGTTTGCTTTACTAAAAAGAACCTCCTCTTTCAAGTCAGGTTTAACTTCTCTACCCGCTTTGTGCAAGCTATTTGCATGTTCCTAAATTTATTTAGGAACTAGTCTTAGTAATGCTTGAGCATAATGCATGTGGAAAAAAATCTGTTCTACAGCAGCAAGAAGCACAGCTGGTTAGCTGAAGCCTGCCCTTCCACAAAAACATCCTGCCAAAAATGTGCCAAGTGTTTAGAAGGCCAAAAATATATATAGCATGGGAACTGCAGAATCAGTTTGCAACCTAGCAAAGTTTTAACTGGACATCAAAATTGTGTGGTCATTTGTGAGTGACTTTATATACCATTAGTTCCCCAAATTTATAGACACGTAGTTAGAGCAGCCATGATGCATTTGGTGGCTGGTGCTAAGCTAGCCCTGTTCTGCTGCTTATCGGCTGCGTCTGCCGAGTAACAAATGGCTGCGAAATGCCGGGTGCCCATTCAAGTGTGCAGAGATAACAAGTTTGATCCTTCCTGGATGATACACTTCAGATATAAATTTCCTTCTATATGGAAATCAAGCAGTTTAAGGAGAAGGCTGGGCTAAACCTCTTTTTCCCTGGCATGTCAATTTCCATATGCAGGGAGAGGGTTGTGGAAATAAGTGGCTTCCCTATCTGATACAGCCCAGGAAGAGCTACACTACATATTATTGCTTGCTATCCAAAAGAGCCTTCAATCAGGTAGGGCTGTGCTTGCCTAATTGGCTGAATCGTGGAGGGGGGGGTGACTTTCAGCTTGCTGTGCTGCTGACTGCTCTGAGACCCTGCTCCCACCTTACTTCAAAAACGCCTCTTCTCCACGCTCGCTTGTGGGATGTAGTAGCTCTCCACACCATTGCTAGAACATGTCTTACCGCCATACAGTGCCTTGGAACAGCTTAACACTGCATTTTGATGCAGATACAAACCGCAATGCTGGGCTGGGCTTGAAATTGTACGCAGAGAGCAGTGAGGTAAAGAATCTCTTTTCCAGAATAAACATTGTGCAGCAACTCTCCAGTGCGCTTTAGCAGAATTGCCAGTCGCTATTGTAGCAAAGGATCTGACCATGGTGGCAAAGTACCAGATATTCACTAGAGACTTTTCAAGGACAGTTAGGATCACAAGAACAATTGTATTTCTGGATATATTGTGTAACGTAGTAAAATGTACCTTGGCGACCCATGGATATTTTGGAGACTTCAGCTTACAGATGCCACACGCCACGTGCTAAATTGTTCCAGTACTTCATTTATCTCAGTGTAAGAGCTGTCCTTCTCCTAAGTATGTTTAATCAGATGTTAGTCCCACAGAGTTCAACAGGACTTGTTTCCTAGTAAGTGTGCTTACTATCACAGCCATGGTCCTGTCCACACGCAAAGGTTCTGTTCCAGAATGTGTTGTGTGCCGTACAAAATTTGTTTTATGTTTAAAGGAGGAAAAAGTCTACAAAAAGTATTGTCTTGATAGTGACAGAGCTCCCATTGGCTCTAGGGATTGTTTCCAAAAGTCCCTGGCAAATGTCAATCTAGATCAACCTTCAACCTCATGCCCTCCAGATATTTTAGACTACAACTCCCATCCTCTCTGACCTTTGGCCATGCTGGCTGGGGTTCATCAGAGTTAGAGTCATAGAATCATAGAATTGTAGCATTGGAAAGGGACCACAAGGGTCCAGCCATCTACTCCAGCCTCCATCCATGGAGGAATCCTTCTGCCTAATGTGGGGCTTGAACCCATGATCCTGAAATTAAAGGTCAAAATCATCTGGAGTGAGGTTAGGGAAGGCTAGTGTAGATATGGAGTCTTTAAGCAGAGTGGCATCATATAGTTTACAAATCCCTTCATATAAATGTAAAGGTAAAGTGACCCCTGACCATTAGGTCCAGTCATGACCGACTCTGGGGTTGCAGCACTCATCTCGCTTTATTGGCCGAGGGAGCCGGCATACAGCTTCTGGGTCATGTGGTCAGCATGGTAAACCAGAGCAGCGCACAGAAATGCCGTTTACCTTCCCGCCACAGCAGTACCTATTTATATACTTGCACTTTGATGTGCTTTTGAACTGCTGGGTTGGCAGGAGCAGGGACTGAGCAACGGGAGCTCACCTCATCATGGGGATTCGAACTGCCAACCTTCTGATCGGCAAGTCCTAGGCTCTGTGGTTTAACCCACAGCGCCACCCACGTCCCTTCATATAAATGGACAGGATTATGCAAAAGATGTGCCAAGCTCATATCACCTTTCACACCTCCCATCCAGGATGCAAACACATGTTGGCAAGCAAAGTGAGAATCCATGCGAGGAAAACTGACGTTCAGGTGGAGATGCAGATGGTGCTCATTTGGAGGTTAGACATGCTAGTCGGAGATAGAAAATAGGAAGCTGTCAGCCATGAAGGGTAATAATCTTTCTCGTCTCAGGACTGAGACCAGATGGACATTTGCCATGATCACAGGTGGGAGAGAGATGGCCAGGGGGAAAGGTGACATTCAAATAATTTGAATTGGTCACACAACGACATTCAGTAGTAAAGGAGGGCAGGATGCATATTAAATGTTCTCACTTTTTGTTCTAGTTAATTCCTCTCTCTTTTTTTTACATCATTAGTTCTCAACAGCCCTAGAGAAATATTTGCCATTCATTAATACCCTTTTTTAAAAGAGCCACTTGTTCATATTTCTTGGCCACTCTGCTCCTAGTCCTCAGAGTAGACTGTATTTAAAGATAATCCACAGTCAGATCAAGTCAGGTCCAAACAGCAGCCAAGATTAGCACCATCTGTCAGGTTGCAGCTTGGAGATGTTGCATTTCCCTTCAAAGGTTGCAGGATGTTGGGGGACAGTAACATAACAGCATCTCAGCTATGATGAGGAAAGCCCCATGTGGCTTCTGAGTTACTCTTGCTTATGTAGGGCATTCTCAGGATCTGGACCCCATGAAGGTGGCCAAGATGCAAAGAGGGTGCAGGTTCCCTGTGCTTTTTGAAGAAGCAGAAGTTTTTAGGTTCAGCTTTCCTCATCCTTGCAGAACAAGCTACACCTACTGAGATCCCCTCACACGCTCACTTGAAAGCAATACAGGGAGATGCCCACCTTTCTGCATTGTCTACTACACTGACTAGTAGTAGCTCTCCGGAGTTTCAGGCAGAGGTCTTGCCCATTACTTGCTACCTGATGCTTTTAATCGGAGGGACCAGGGACCAGATCAGAACTTTCACCATGCAAAGACTGTGATCTACCACTGATCGTCCCACCTAACTAGACCACTGGGGTAAACCTGACCTGCAGACAAGTGGAAGCAAAGCAGTACATGCTTGAGAGAAATAATATTCACAGTGCAGTGGTTGACAGTATGATCATGCCAACATGAAGGTGCCTTTAAAGGAACACGAGTGAGCATCATCTTGAGTGAGCCTGCAGATGCTCTTTTTGTATTTGGAGATTACTAGGCCATGCCGCCACCCACTGCGCACCTTGGTAATGCAGGTATGGAATCAGTATGGGAATTTACTCACCCTGTTAATGCGTTTCTGTTCCCCTCTCCTTTTCGAAAATCATATTTTCCGTTTCAGCAACGGTTACAAGTAAAATAATTTGGCTACGAGCCTGAAAGAGCTCCCTCAGATTAGCACGCCAGCCAAAATGTTGCAGATTGCGATGGTGGGACACCACGTCATTCTTTTTCTGCACCAAAAATTTTTTTGGCACTTAACCAGCCCATGTGGGCACATCACAACCTAGGTGATGAAAGATGATCAGGTGTATCTTCCCAAAGGGTGAAGTTATTATGACTTATGGGCAATATTTGAGGTGCTAAATCTACTCATGGCAAATTGTACCTTTATTTTATTTTTCTGGAGACAAAGACCTGTATTGCTGTTCAACTTGTGATGAGGCAGTTCTATAGAAACAGTTACTTACTTGCATGTACATAGGATATCTATAGCAACAGTTTATGGAAATGAATAATATATGTATAAATATATATATGTACCAAAAATGCAATAGATTACTGGGGGGGGGATGGAAATAAATCAAATCCTACACAAGTTTCATCATGGCAGTCTGGTGTTCTTCCTTCCGTTACAAGCTTCGAAAGCAATTGCCATCAGGATTGCAGATCATAGTGAAAGATGTGAGCAGCATCTTTATGACAGAGATCTTTGAAGGAGTGATATCGTTTTGTTCTGGCTTTAGCACTTAAGGGCTTCCTTCAGAACCTTCAATAGAACGGATACATGCATGAAATCATAAAAGAAGAGAGCGCCTTTAGGGAACAGGCTGTGTCCATTGCCATTGCCACTGATAAATCCTACATCTGGAATTGGAGACGGTTTCCCATTAGGAGTATGTGCCTTATTATACACAGGATTTCTCCTTTATTTGTTTGTTTGACACTGCAGAACATGTCTTAAAGCTCCCCAATTGGCTCCCAATACAGTCTACAAAAGATGCACAGTAAAAAACAGCTACACCAACAAAGCTACAAGTCACATGAAACATTCATAAATCTCAGCACGGACTGTTTCAAGGGCTTCCTTATTTAAAAATTAACCGCTTGGTGAGTAGAAACTCTCTGGCAAAGCATCTCTGACAGCAACCTGTGCTCTACAAAGCTTTACCCATAGGCATTGCCTTTTGTATTGAACCCACCTGCCTAGCCCCATGCCTTGGGGTCCCCCACCCCACATCCCTTTGAGTCCCAGTTGTTTTCATGGGCCTGTGTTGGATCGATTGAGTCCATCAAGCTTTCCATGGGTGCTGCAGATGAAAATGTGCACACAACTGTGCAGCTGGTGGGGGAATAAAAATGACTCACTCATATTACCCTCCCCATAATGGTTTGTGAGGTCGTGTACGTGTGTTCCCCACAACCGTTTTACCCCGGCAACAATTCTGTGAGTTAAGTTAGGCCGAGAAATAATAAGTAATCCAGTGAGCTTCATGGATAAGTGGGGAATTGTACCAGAGTATCTCGGGTCATAGTAGTGACATTCTAAACACTGGGCCTTACATACCCTCCAACATTTCTCCGGTGAAAATAGGAATGACCTGTTCCATTAAAATAATAGAATCAAAGAATCATAGAGTTAGAAGGGTGCCTGACGATCATCTAGTCCAACCCCCTGCGATGCAGGATTATGCAGCTGTCCCATGCGGGGATCAAACCTGCAACCTTGGCATTACCAGCACCACGGTCTGACCAACTTAGCTATTATTATTTATATGCCGCCTATTTGACTGGGTTGCCCCAGCCACGCTGGGCAGCTTCCATATATAAAAATATTTTTAAAAAACATTAAACATGCCTTCAGATGTCTTCTAAAGGTTATCTAGTTACTTATCTCCTTGGCTTGGGGTGGTATAACTCCATACCCTCCAACATTTCCCCAAAGAAAACCGGGACGTCCTAAGGAAAAGCTGGACATTCCAGGATAAAATCAGAAACCAGGGTGGAAAATAGGGACACTTGGAGGGTCTGGCCTTAGAAAGGGCCTAACACTGGCATGGATAGTGTGTGTTGTGGTTAATGAGTTGCTTGGAAGCTGCGCTAACAAAAACCCCACAATATGGGACATGAAACTGTCTCTCGCACACATACTTCATGTGGAAAAAGATTTGTTCCTTACCAGGAACTTGGACTCACTGTTTAAGTCTGAAATGCCGTCGTGGAAGAAGGGGGTGGTCACGCTTGCAACTCTTGTGTTTTAACCCACACAGGATTATCACCTGGAGGCATCCAAGTCCCATTTTTGGGAGGGTATAACAATGGAAAATGCAACACTCGCTCTTAAAATATGCTGAGTTTTGGAAATGTTGCATCTTTAAACTCGGCTGTGAATTTTGCACCCCCAACGAAAGCTCTTGAAATGATGCCTGATTTTAGATGCTTGTGAAGATTTCCCCCCCCCACACACACACACTCCAAAGGCCACTGCTTAGCCATGTCTGCCGAGGCGACCGACTTCATTTCTTAACAGTGGCCTCTGACTCATGACTGGTGAGAGATAATGAAAGCATTTAACAAGGAATGAAATGTCTGGTTCCAGCAGCACACAAGCACCATCGCGTTCTCTGAGGACTGACCTGAATTATTAGACATGTCTTCCCCCTTCTCCTATACAACCTGTCGCCTTCTTTGGATCCCAGGATGGAGTGAGGCAGAGAATCTGCAAGGAAGGGTGCTGTTGCTCTGATAAGGCAGCCAGCTTTTCCTGTGAGTTATCTACCGCCTTTAACAACTGCATAACAACAACCCGCCCCCCACTGTATCTCCATATTGGGAACATTGTACCTGTTGAATTTCTGCCTGCTTTACAACTGTGCATTAAGAGCATCCAACAAAGAGCCTGTTGGATGAGACCAGTGGCTCATCTCGTCCAGTATTCTGTTTTCACAGAGGCCAACCAGGTGCCTGTGAGAAAGCCCAAAGCAGAACCTGTGATCAGCAGCTGCACTCTGTCCACTTGTGAGCACCTTGGCTGTGTAATCACAGCCTGTCCTGCACACCCAGAACTATCCTGCTGGCCTCAGGTGCAGTAAAAGCCACAATTACATTGGTAGTACAGTGGTACCTCGGGTTAAGAACTTAATTCATTCTGGAGGTCCATTCTTAACCTGAAACTGTTCTTAACTACTTTAGCTAATGGGGCCTCCCACTGCCACCACGCCACGGCTGTGCGATTTCTGTTCTCATCCTGAAGCAAAGTTCTTAACCCGAGGTACTATTTCTGGGTTAGCGGAGTCTGTAACCTGAAGCGTCTGTAACCTGAAGTGTCTGCAACCCGAGGTACCACTGTATTGAAATAAGATTCATCTGCTTGTCCTGTTGGTTTCTGTCCATGGAATTGCAGCGGCAGCTAGACTGGTGACTGAGCAGCTGCCAGGACCACCTAACACCAGACCTGAAAGACCTACATTGGCTCCCAGTACGTTTCTGAGCACAATTCAAAGTGTTGGTCCTGACCTTTAAAGCCCTAAATGGCCTCGGCCCAGTATACCTGAAGGAGCGTCTCCACCCCCATCGTTCAGCGCTGAGGGCCTTCTGGCAGTACAGGGCACCAAGCAGAGGGCCTTCTCGGTAGTCACACCCACCCTGTGAAACACTCTCCCATCAGATGTCAAGGGGATAAATAATTATACAACCTTGCATAGACACCTGAAGGCAGCCTTATATCAGCACACTTTTAATGTGTGATGTTTTGTTGTTGTCTTTTTGTATATTATGTTGAAAGCCGCACAGAGTGGCAGGGCAACCAAGTCAGATGGGTGGGGTAATAATAATATCATAATAATATATTCCAACTCTCTTAATAAAATGAAGAAGAAGAAGAGGAGGAGGAGGAGTTTTGTCTCACTCATTAGGCACCTCTTGTAGCACAAGCTTTCCCTGGTGACACACTGACACTTTACAGCCAGGTGAAAAACCTGAATATTTTCTGTGCTCTTGAGATTCCGAGTGTTTAATCAGGTACAGGCCCCATCACAGCAGACAGGTATGTCTCCTCTACAGGATGCAAAACTGGTCCCTTAGTCTCCGCCTGCATCTGCTCTCCCGAAGGAACATTTTAATGAGACTCACACAGCTGTACTATCACACAGTGAACATTAACCATGCTAATTGCCTAAAGTTTAGCCTGTGAATACTCGGTGAGGGATACCTCAGCGACTTGCTGGTGTTGTGGGGGGTGGGGCTCAGTTCAACTCCCATGAATTTGAAATGCAAGGCCAGGCTTGTGGAAGAACACAAATCCAAGAACGGGGCATCTTCTGAAAGAGAGCTGCTCTATAAGCTTGTGTGACTTGTGCCTGAGCCCGGAGGAGGAGCTGATATCTCTGAAGAAAATTGCCATGAGTTGCCCAAATCCATGGAGGAAATTGTGTTGCCAGGCACCTTCACACTTGGGTATATAAAGGCCTGTGTGAAGTGAGGGGGAGGGAAGCTGAGGCTGGGAAGGAATTAATTGTCAGACAACTGCAGCTGTTAAGGCCTAAGCTGTGGAATCAGCTGGGAGATGCGGGAGAGGCAACACACACACACACACACACACACACACACACACACACACTCCTATCTACCTTCCTGGATTAGTTTCAAGCTCTGTGCTTGTGCACCATATGCACAGCCATTCTGTAGCTCAAGGTCACTGCAGAAAAGGGAATTCAACAGCTTTGCTTTCCCAGCTAGCTTGAGCCAGTCAAGCTCCCATAGCAGTGGAGCTTAGCCTTGGAAAGGGTAAACAATGCTGCCGAAGTCTGCATGCAGAATGGCTCCTGGCACAGCTATTACGCTGCCTGTCTTGCCAGTTCCTCCACTTCAAAGTAGCCATTACCTGATGCAAAGCGGCAACAGCCCTGCCCAGCCTCTGTCTCTCTACTGGAATTCAAGCACTGGTGTTTCCAAGTGTAAAAGATGCATTTCCATAAGCTGAGCTGAGCCCCGTTCCAAATGAAAGCAGAGGCGGCATCCCAGAATGAAGTTTCAGAATGCTAGCTTGAATTCCTATTCACTGAAGGGATTTTTTTTTTTAACATCCTCTCCCATTTTCCAGAGGGTGACCATGTGATTCTTAAAGTTGAAAGTATTAAGAAGACGTAAATAATTGTTGGACTTGACATTCACGTACAGAAGCAAACCAAAAACATTTTCAGCTAGAGTTTCTATGAATAACATCCTTAATTCCATAATGCATATTATAGGCTGTGCCATTTTGGAGTGCTATAGTTTTTGATGGCTCCTTTTTCAACTGTTGATTCCAAGTGTAAGTAAAAGTAATACTGAGCCTCTAAATTTAGAACTGAAGACACACTATCACCCTCTTGACCAAAATGCTCAGGGGGGTGATCTTCAGATGGAAAATGAAATCAGGGAGACATCTGAAGTGGCAGGTTGAGTAAACGCATGTTCTGGTCATGACACAGGTAAAAATTCTAGATGCCCTAAACCATTATGCTTTAGATCAGCCATGGAAGCAGAAGGGAGTCAACTCTGAACTTAACTCTAAGTGATGCCCATCACTTTATGTAAGCGTTGTTGAAGCATGAGAACTGTGATGACTTAAGTGTTATCATAGATATTGCCAATGAAGTCTAACACAGTCACATTTCAGTTCAAATAAGCCCTGCTGTTGGCATCCATTTGTCTGGAGAGACAATGGAGTGTGCCTCCAGGGGTGAAGCGCCAAAGTGACCTCACCAGGGCACAAGCGTGGGCAGTGTGTATGGAAGGTCTAGGTTGCCCAGATAACAACCCCTGTCCCCCAGGCCTTGCTGATGTGGTGGTCCATTGATGTGGTGTAATGTACACTGTGGGAAAATAAAGTTCACATTTGCACTGATGGGGTTTGAAGCTGGTGGCAACTGATAATGAAAGGGATTTTGAGGTCATCGTGGATAGCTCAATTAAAATGTTGACCCAGTGTGTGGCAGCTCTTTTAAAAAAGTGGAGATTATTAGGAAAGGGAAAGAAAATAAAACTGTCACTGTCATCATGCCTTTATATAAATCTATACTGTGACAACACCTGGTCAGCACAACTGGGGGGGGGGGGGATAGCACAGAGCAGAAAAGGGCACCCAAAATAATTGGAGAGCAAGAACAACTCCTCGAGGAGGAGGAATGCTTACATACAATGCTTGGAGCCATTTTAATTAGAGGAATGGTACACATAAAATTATACACGGAGGGGGAAATGTGGAGAGGGAAGAGCTTTTCTTCCTCCCTCAGAATGCCAGAACCACCATCCAAGGATGATGAGTGGCACAATATTCAGGGTATATAAAATGAAGTCCTTAATGCAACACATAGCTAAAACTATGGAATTTGTTTCCACAAGATGTAGTGAACAGTCACCAGTCCAAACAACTTTAACCTGAGGTTAGACAGATTCCTGGAGATCAGGCTACCAAGCTGCTAGTTATGGCTATATGTACTACCTCTGGGATCAGAGGCTGTATTGCCTCTGAATACCAGTCACTGGGGAACACAAACAGGAAAGTGCTAGGTCATCATGTCCTCTCATTCATTCATTCATTCAGTTTTTCCTCCAAGGAGCTCAAGGTGGCATACATGATTCTCCCCCCTCTAAATCTCTACAACAACCCTGTGTGGTACATTAGGCAGAGAGGCAGTGACTGGTCCGAGGATGCCTAGTGAGCTTCATGGCCAAGTGGGGATTTGAACCCTAGCCCAGCACTTTATAGCACTCTCTTATGGGTTTTCTATAGACTTTTGGTTGGACACTGTTGGAAACAGGTTGCTTGGCTAAAGTAAGCCTTTGATCTAATCCAAGGAAGGTTCTTCTTACGTTCTCAGGATTATAAACTATTCCATTTTCTAAATCTCTTGACACAGACATACATATGGGCACATTTTGAGAATTTTTAAGTCGCTTTCTAATTAAATGTTTTAATAACAACAATTTAAATTTAATCTTAAAGATATAGTTAGCCTTGTAGCCTGAGGATGTTGACCTCTCTCCTGGACCATAGCTGAGGAGGACCTAAGCACAACAGTTTTCATGTACCCCAAAGATTCAGTTTATCCTGCCTATAAACCAGACTTTAAGTTGGTGCCTGTCCTGAAAAGCCATTTAACTAGCTGACTGGGCTTGAGGTCATTATTAGTAATTATATCACTGCTGAAGACAAGGTTTGGCTGCCTGCCAGTCCTCACTCCAGCTTCCTATTCTGCTCTCACCAGAACAGAGAAACACACAGCCAATCAACCAAAGCCTTGACTGAACCCACATCTAGTTTTTCATTACCCTTGAAAGATGCTTTGAATGCTCAGCATGAAGTTCCTGGAACAACACTTTAATCGAAAAGTCTTGCAACTCGGAGCCAATTCTCATGGGTCTCTCTGGTGCGTAGCAGCGGCGTTTTTGGTCAGGTTGCATTGACTTTTCCTTCCCTGCCATGCATGGAGTTGATTGTGCAGATGCAGATGTCACACACCAAACTTGGCACAGATCGTTCTCTCTGTGCTTGCAAAAAGCTAGTGCTTTGAGTGCTGCTCACCGTGGTACACAAAAACCAAACAGACACATAATACATGGTTTCTCCATAAGACCCACTCATATAAACTTATCTACATACAAGGCCATTTTAATGAACTTGCAATGCACTTCTTGTTATTTTAAAATGTTGGTATAGCAGCTAACAATATATTAACACCGGAGCATTTTATTTGCTGGCCCGTGAAATCTTAGACTTGACTTGCCTACAGTCCTGGTCATACTTTTACAGCAATGAGTCCTATTAAAATCAATGGGGCTTTCAACTAAGTATTTGTGTAGGATCACAACCTTAATTTGGGTTGGCTTAGCCTGCTCAGCTTTCCATTTAATGGGTTTCATAACTCATGTGTTTTGCTTCCAGTGCTTCCATTTGGGGTCCAGACAACTCTCAGGGCAAGAGAATATGAGGAATAATAATGCATTTTCTTGTGATCTAACAGCAGGCAAAGTTTTTGATGGCTCTAAATGGTTCTCTTGTCCTTTGCAGAACTTGGTTGCATCATACGTATGAGTCCGGGTATATAAATGTGCAACTTGCTATGTGCTCTAATCTCATCATAATGAATTAAAAAATACAAAAGGTTACAGACAATGCAAACAAGAAAAAACAATTCCGTTTTTTTTTATAATTCATTGTGTTTTAATTTGTTGAGGAGGTGGTGGCAATAACGTCAAGTGATACTTCTTTTGACAATGTACATTTAAATGCTCAGGTGATTCATTTTACAGAGAAGCTTCAAAGAGTGCTTATTTTCCCAAATGCAGCCTCGGCCATCTTCCTATCTGACTTCCATTGATCCCAGTGGAGCTACCCATTACTTCAGCAAACAAATTGCCCAGGCGTTTGCTTGTAATAAGGAATGGGATGGAATTTGTAAAGGAGAAATAGTGGGCAGAGAAGGGTATTCTATTCTTCCCAGGGCTCCTCCCAATTAGCTGGGGAGACGTGTTGCAGGTGTGCTCTGCAACATGTCAGTTGACACAACAACAGTGCATTAGTGGTGGGTGTATACTGTATCACTCACACAACATTCTGCTTTATTAGTTATTTGCCATCTAGAGGAGCACCCTAGAGGTACAGCACAACAGAAGTGGGGCATTTGTTGTGGGAAAAGCTGCAGGATTTCAGTGGGAAGCCTGGGGACATGCACGGATAGGAAACTAAATGGGATGTCTGCTGCAAAACTTTTGCAGGTGCAAACACTATTAAAAGCGAGGCCACCCCGATACCATTATGAGTGCAAATCATCATGAATGGGCATGATGGAGAGGTCCTCACTGTTAAGAACCTCCACCTGTCAGCTGATCCTTTCCTGCAAATACTCTCCCCCTCCACATTAGTGCCACATGGCAAACACAAGATTTGTAACTCCCCTGCTTGCCATTCTGCATTCCATGGACTGCTTCGAGTTCATAAAAAACAATGCTTTTGTCATTTCAGACAACTTTTAGGGCCAAGAGAGACATGATTTTAAATGCCTCCTTGGGTTCCATTCTTGCAGTTCCTTATGGGAGGCATCCAATGGTGGGATTCATCAGTAGAATGAGGGGTGGGGGCAATTTCCCCTGACAATTCCCTATCCCCTGCCACCTTCCAGGGCCCTCCTTAATCTGCTCTCCAAAACATGTTTAGGGGAGCACAGGGGCTGCAGGGAAGGGTGAAAACCTCAAAATTGCCTCCTCCCATTCCGCAGATGGATTTGCTCTGTGAGCAGATGGTCTTTCTTCCATTTGCCTTTTTTCTCCTTTTCCCTGACCCTAAAAACTGCCAAATCAGTTTCTTGCCTTGCCATGAATGCTCAGTGCTACTCAGAGCATTACTCAGCAAAGGGATTAACTAAAATGTACATAGTTGCATTGGCATTTCAAGATAACACTGTTCACCCCATCCCTTGATCTTAAACACAATATAATTGAAAGCAAATCCAATTATTTCAGAGCAACTTACTCCCGAGTACTGCAAGTTGATGTACTGAGCTTACAGAAATGTGTAGCAGCAACAGTGTCCAGGATGGATTGCTCTGGCACAAGACAGGCACCTCATATTCTGGGCACATCCATCCTGCTGCAGTCCCATTTCCCAAAGGTTACTACTTAATTTTAGCTGCATAGCATTGTATCAACTCAGATGACACATTTCAACCCCATGGTGACTGAAATGTCATCTCAGTCTCGCTCCCTCTGGGCAATACTGGGCCATACAGTCACTGTGCGTAACACCACATCTGGTAATAGAAGCTGATGGGATGGAAGCTGCAGTTATGCCAACTTAGTGCTAAAACAGTGCTGTAGTTCATAAACATACACATTGATAGCAAATGATAACACTTACAGAGCCAGCCAGCCAAAATTAAACTTTTTATGATTGAAATCTGATGCATGATTCTTGGGGAGCAAGTCCCTTCGGTGGGGTTTACTTTCGAATCAAGATTTAGGCTCTAAGTCTCATTGCTTTCTATGGCAGAAATAAGCAAAGTCATAGCTGAAATCTATGGGGCATAAAAGTGGTCAACCTTGGCTGGATTGCACCCTTGTTTCTGAGTAGTGGGTTATGGCACTTTAGAATAGATTCTAGAAAATCTATTTTATATTGCATATTGCAAAACGTTTTACTAGCAACATTTCCCCCCTCACTTTTGTTTCGTTTAAGATCAAGTTTGAGGAAGAGCCTGGTGAAACTAAAAAATGAGCACGCTCCTTTGTGACTGTTAGCAGCTGGCCCAAAGAGAAGTATTAGGATTCTGTTCTTGCTGGAGTTTTCTTTTAAAACATGGCGGCCTGCACTTTTCTGAAAATAAAGCCTACTTGCTTATTTCCCTTAAATGGTGGCCTTGAACCAAAGCAAATGGCAATTTTGAGTAGTTTCCCCTGGCATATTACAACAAATTAGTTATGGAACGTATACAATTTATGCATCTACATACAGCCATTCTTTCTCTAAAATCAAATGAAAGAAAAAGGGTCAAACACAATGTGTCAATCATAAGGGCATTCAGACAACCACAGGTCAATGTTATAAACAGCTTAGTGCCCTGTCTCCCACTGTGCCAGTACTGGATCCTTCAAAATAAAGCTACAAGAAAGCAGGTGCTTATAGAATGAAGGACCCCCAGTCATCTTCCAGCTTCTTGCAACTAGAGGCTCAGAATATCTTGACAAGCACAATGTATTCTGTAGCCATCTTAAATAATGATTGGTAGAGACCTAGGGTCCACAGAAGAGATGTATGACACTACAACCATCTTAGGTTCACTTCTCTTTTGTTTTGAACACAGCATCTAGAACATTTGCAGGTCTTCTTTTAGGGAGGGAAATGTGTTGTAATGGCCATTTTATATTTTCGTGAATCAAGCAAATCCTCCATTCAAATCTACAGGAACACCAGACTCTAGATTTTTCGCTTTAGCAAGGGGTTCTGCTGCTCCTGCAGCAACTTCCCTGGGGCTGACTGCCATCCGAGTGCAGCTGCTACACCAGATGTGCAATTGCTGCTGGATCAGGGCACCACCATGAGGATACTAGCTGTGCGCCCTCATCTCTACACTGGAGAGTCCTTTAAGCAGTTATTAAAATCTGCAGGTTCAAGGAAAGGGCTGACATTCTGAGTTCCAAGTCTCTTAGTGTTTTGGAAAATATATAGTAATATCGGAAGCTGCCTTATCCAGAATCAGACCATTGGTCCATTGTCTACACTGACTCAGCAGGGTCTATCCCAACCCTGACTCAGCAAGGGTCTATCTCAACCCTACCTGAAGATGCCAGGGATTGAACCATAGAGCTTCTGCATGAAGAGCAGATGTTTTACCACTTAGCTACAGCCCCAGCCCCTGCTTTAAACACTTTAAAATGTCCTTCCGACAACTAGAGAAAATTTTGGCTGGACCATGCTCCTAAGAACTGTACATAGCCATTGATTTAGATGGAAGAGAGTTAAGCATGGGCTTAAATCTGTGATACTTAAACATGCTTAACCTGGACTAGTGATGCTGCAGTGCAGAGGTGGAGCGGATTCAAAAGGCTGAACTTGGGTTCAATCCTTGTCTTTTCCACGTAGGGCTGGGGATTCAGGGAAAGACTCTTGTCTGAAACCTGGAGAACTGCCATTTGCCGTAGACAACACTTGAGCTAGCTGAATCAATGGTCTGGCTTTGCATAAGAAAGCTTCCTATGGATCATGCACACAGCCATGGGATGTTGGGTGCTCTACCCTAAGCACATGTGCTGCTCCCATTTTAAGTCTTCGGATCAGTGTCCTTTGGCCCAACTTAAATGTTGGCAGGTCAATGTGTTCGAACAGGAGGGTGGTGGGACTTTTCCAGCCTGAGGACAGCATTTCCTTGTGGGTAACTTTCCCAAGGACGCATGCCAGAGGTGGGGTAGACCAAAGGCAAACAGATGGGTAGAGCGACAGATGCAAATGCAAAACCAGAGGCTTCCTCACACACAAACAAGCACACACACCCTTCTCCACCCCAGCAAGCGAGAGGCATTATCACAGTGAAGGACAAATTCCAGCCAGGCAAAAGAGCTTTGAGCAGCGTGTGGAGTAGGGACAGTGATGGGATGTGGCTTGGGGAAAATTCTGAGCAACCTGTAGAGCGATATTTGGACCCCAGGGCTGAATTTTCCCACCTGCTCAGATCTATTTCAACCCCATGTAAAACAGGAGGCTGACGGCATGGCCAACAGTTAGGGATGGTGTTGAAAACAACATCTGGAGAGTTACAGGTTCCCATCTCCACATACCTGTTACCAGAGAATTGAGAGGACTTGGACTGGTAGGACCCAACATGTAGCTTGGGCCTTACTGTTAATGACTAGGAAAGAATTGAGCTGTTGTATCCTTTGAAGGTCCTCTACATCTAAAAGTGTGCTTGTGAGGGGGAAGTTCCTCTAAGACAGGGGTAGGCAACCTAAGGCCCATGGGCCGGATGCAGCCCAATCGCCTTCTCAATCTGGCCCATGGATGGTCCGGGAATCAGCATGGTTTTACATGAGTAGAATGTGTCCTTTTATTTAAACTGCATCTCTGGGTTACTTGTGGGGCCTGCCTGGTGTTTTCACATGAGTAGAATGTATGCTTTTATTTAAAATGCATCTCTGGGTTATTTGTAGGGCATAGGAATTCGTTCATTTCCCCCCAGAAAATATAGTCCGCCCCCCCCCCACAAGGTCTGAGGGACGGTGGACCGGCCTCCTGCTGAAAAAGGTTGCTGACCCCTGCTCTAAGACACCTGCAGCGAATGATACTTCTCAATATCTTCACCACAGCTCTGCATCAAGGACGGATGTGGAGATGACACTGGCATTTCTCTTGGGGTGCTAGAGTGGGGGGAACAACAGATCAAACAAAAAGCACAATGCCACACAGTTTAAATGCCTAAATACCAACAGTTACAACAGTTCCCTGCTTTGCTATTATCATAACACATGTGAATCTATTACGGCATATCTGCAATCATGCACTGCAGTGGGGATGGGGAAACATAAAAAACAAACAAACCATGTGTGTTCCTTCTAGTAGAACCCAGGAGGTACGAGATTTGTGAAATCTACACTTGGACAGCAAATACCACAGAAATTTCTTTGAATGTCCATTCTCTTTCATGTGTGTACAGGTGTGTTTGTAGTGACACAGATCCTTAGGTGGCGGGTGACAGTTGTGTGCTGGTGCCAAAAGTCCAGGAACAAGCCCAGTCCTGGTCCACGGAGACTCTTCTAGGGCTGGAAGCAGAAGGCAGACGCTCTCTCTCGGAGAAGTTCTCGGCACAAATGACAACTCCAACTCCCTATAAATAAATACAGTAATAAAACCATCAGATCAGTGAGTGGTCCTGGGGTACATCAATCAGTGTCAGGCAGAAGAAGTGGGAAAGCTATTTAAACCGCACTACACAAGAGGACCAATTTGTATGTCACACATTTCCTACAGGTAAAACATTTGCAGGACATGCGGATCCACATGTGTGATCACAAATATGCATATTCCTCTGTGTGTGCATGCTATATGGACAGCTATATATATTTTATATTAAGGACCAAATGACAAAAGATGCAGGAGTTCTTCAGATGTTTCCCCACTGGAAGCATCAGTTTTGGTTGGCACCCATCCCTCCACCACTCTGAGGTGGTACAATCCTTTTTTAAAAAAATTATGTGGGTGCACACTCTAATCTGAAATATGCTGCACACATCTTTGTGTCTGTGCATGAGTACAGGTACGCATACCTGCACTAGAGCTTTTTAAAAGCAATATTTAAAGCACCACACAACTACAACTAATTACAGTGATGTTTGTCACAGTTATGTGATGAAGACAAGGCTGGCATCCATTCATCTTTGGAGACAGTGGAGGAGTGTGCCTTTGGGGGTGAAGTCAAGCTGTTGTATGGTTACAGCGCCTGCTCTCTCCCACTTTGCAATGGAATGCAGCACCAAATGGGGTTACATATGCTTCAGGTTACAGACTCCGCTAACCCAGAAATATTACCTTGGGTTAAGAACTTTGCTTCAGACCCAACAGTAAAATCAGCAGCAACTAGGCCCCTGACAACCTTCGAAAACCTCCTCCTAACAACAAAGGGAAACGGTAAAGGGACGGTATCCGCAATATACAAAATACTACTCCAAAATCCCGCAAATCCCCTAGATGCAATCAAACACAATGGGAGAATGACATAGGCTATGAGATTAACCCCACTCAATGGACCAGAATGTGGTCTAAACCCCCCATTAAATCCATATCAACGAAAAGAAAAGAACTCACACTGAAACTCACCTACAGGTGGTACCTAACACCAAGGAAACTAGCGCTAATACACCCAGGAACCTCACCAAAATGCTGGAGAGGGTGCACCTCCACAGGCACATACCTCCACATGTGGTGGGAGTGTCCCAAAATCCAACTATTCTGGACAACAGCCATACAAGAAATATGTAAAATAACTAAGCAAGTAATAGACATCACCCCAGAATTGGCCCTGCTAAACATCTTCCAAGACAACAATGCCCATTTACACCACAAAGAACTCATAACCCACCTGCTCTCAGCAGCCAGAAACACCATAACCAGACACTGGAGAGACCTGTCAGGAGTAAGCATGGACCAATGGTACCAAATAGTATGGGAAACAGCCCTACTAGAAAAATTAACTAATAAACTGAAACTGACACGGGACAAACAGAAGAAGACGCCTTCACCCCGGTATGGCTCCCCTTTATCACATACACAGCCCAACAGGACAATGACAATAATCCACCAACAGCATACAAATCAATATGGCTAACCTGATCCAAAACACCGAAAACAAAGATCACCACAGCCAATCACAAGCAAACAATCACACCCTAGGCCAACCCCAACCTCTCTCACCACCAAAGGAACACAAGTGAACAACACAAGCAACGCTGACACCAAACTCTACATACATTAAACATAATAGAAACACCGTCACCCGACCCCACCCCATCCATCTTCCCTCTCTCCACCCCCCCTTTCTTTTCTTTTTTTTCTTCTCCCCCTAATGCCTCAACAAATGAAACGGATTTGTAAAAATGTTACATGAAAAAAAAAATACGAGGCACTACACTTCTGTAAAACAAGAAAATCCTTAATAAAATATTTTTTAAAAAAAAGAACTTTGCTTCAGGATGAGAACAGAAATCGTGTGGCGGCCGCGTGGCGACAGCAGGAGGCCCCATTAGCTAAAGTGGTGCTTCAGGTTAAGAACAGTTTCAGGTTAAGAAAAGACCTCCAGAACGAACTGAGTTCTTAACCCGAGGGACCACTGTATAAACAAGGGGGATACAGTGATGTATTGCATACAGTGTGCCTAGTGAGTGGCAGTTGTGTTTGCCAAATATACAATACCTTTCCGTTTGGGTGGTTTCACTAAATTGTATTGTATTCAGCCTAATAAACAGATGGATAGTTGAAGATGTGTCAAAATAACTTCTGTCCCCCACTTCCCTATGAGGCTGATCAGAAGGAAGTTAACTATGTAGAGATCTGGCAGGCAGTTGACTCTGTGAGGTAGGATTTTGGACTCGCATAACACATTTAATTATTTAGTTAACTGGTTGATTTCCCATGGCACAGGCATGGGCCTCATTACACAATCTGGAAAATCACTCCTTAGCTTCTGTTGAAGTCACCACACACTCAAAGACACAGCAGCTTCCACTATATATATATATATATATATATATATATATATATATATGGGGAATATTTTCAGGAACACCACAATGAGGTTGGATTCCCATTAGCCTGTTCCTGCCTGCATAAATTTGTTTGCATCACAGCTAGGTAAGTGCTGACCTATAGTCACAACGCTAGAGATTATTTCCAAAAGCCATCACTTGTTCCAAAACTTTGAAGGAAAGCAAAGTTTGACCCATCATCTTTGACCACTGGTCTTGCCAGCTATGGATGATGGAAGTTGTAGTCCAACAACAGCTGGGGACCCAAGTTTGAGAAACACTGCTCTAAATACCCTTGCAACTTCAGGAGCAACCCAAATTTGCCATGAATTGCTTTGGAGGCGGCTTGCTCTGTTTCAGATAAGATCCAAACCTCTCCAACGCATGCTGATTCAGTTTGTGATTTAGGTTTCATCTGAAGCAGGTGTACACCTCTAAATGTAAGTAGGTTTCAAGAACGGTCATGTTTTCCAAGTCAAGAAACCACCCATTGGTTTGTGTTACTTTTGTTAGCGTGGGCTTCTAAAATGCTTGCAAAGCAAGTTATAAGTCAACAGAACTCATCTGCTGGTGCAAATTCTGTTTGATGAGCAAGGAGTTTGCATTAGTATTTGTGAATC